AAATATTTTGGGTGTTTTTTTCTTTTTTTTTTTTTTTTTTTTTTTAAGCGCATATGCTGTAGTACATTGCGGCTTCCTGCAAGTATTCTGACAGATCTTAGAGGCCAACAGCATGGAGGTTGAGGAGGCCCTGTGAGGTCAGAACCCACATTAAACAGAGGCAGAACTGGAGAGGACACTTGGGCATATATATTAACCTAAATAAAAGGAAAGACTTTTCTGGACCAAGAGACACTAACAAGGTTGAGAACAGACTTCCTTTGGATAGGAATTACCCATTCCTTTTTTTTACTCCAGAAGTTGTTGATGCTGTTGTTTCCTACGGTTATCACCATCCCATCACGGTTTTCTTTATTCTAAAAAATTCTTTATGCACAGCTGTACTGACGCCTATTCATGAGATATGCTCTTAAGACAATGAGACATGAAAGGGAAGGGAGATTTCTTTTTTCTCTTGAAGTAAAGACCACAAACGTACGGACATTGTTCAGTGCATTAACAGAATTGCTCTTAAAACAGATGGCACAGTCACCCCAGCAAGTACTCCTCCCTCTTAAAAACTGTAATATAAAAGCCAAGACATCTGGCAAGGCTATACAGTTCAATGGTAATAAGTCCTTTGGTCAAAAATTCAGTTTGAGAGCACATAGAATAAAAACACGTTCACCTGGCAACTAGCAGAACGAGACTCAAATTTCCACTACAAACACTTGCTAACCATGTGACAATACTAAGCAAAAGAAAATCGCAAACACAACAGCAGGGAATACCAGTATAGGAAACTGAGTCCCAGCCTGTGAAGTAAGTTTTATTTTTATATTAAAAAATACCAATCATACAAGAACTTTATCCAGAACAGACCACGGTGGAATCCTATTGAAATATCCTCCCAGTTTAGGCAAGTAATAGCTGATTGCTCAGTTTACTCTGATTTATGCAGATCACTGCATATTCCCTCCTCCTTTTAGCAAAACATTTTCTAAGTTGTTATTCTGGGAAGATGCACTTCCTGTGAACAGATGTCATTAGACAAATTGAAATACTATTGTAGAACTACATTATAACTGGGATTAGAAAGCATGAGCAAGACTTCTGCTTTTACTGTGCAAAAATTCCATTATGATTCTACCATATTTTCAGAGTATTTGACATTTCAATATATCCAGCAGATAGGATCATTACTCATTGCCTTTGCTATTGTCCAAAAGCAGTTTGCGCTATTAATTTTAATTTTTGTAGTACTGTAAGCATGCAGCCTCACGTTAAATTCCTTTGCACTCAAAATTTCCATCCATTTAGCATCCATTAAAGGAAACAGAGCATCAAGCAGAAGAGGAACAATGGTTTGCTTTCTAAAAAAAAAATCAAAAAATTCAGAACAAGAAACACTTGGCCATTATTTAAGAAATAGAACTTTTTTATCTGCAAAACACATTTACTAAGTTTTTCTTCACTATTTCACTTCACTAATTCATGTCTCTGCAGTTTTCAAATGAAAAGCAAGATAGAACGCGCTGTGTTCTAAAGGTAAGAGGACAAAATAACTTCGTATTTTCTTACCTTTGCATTATAGGGAATATAATGCTTTGATAAGGCTTCGGGAGTGTGCATCCATGCTTTGTCTACAGAAAAGCAAAATAAAAGAAGCACTGAATAGGTTATTCAATCGTTAATTTAACTGTTACAGTATCTATACGGAAAACATTAAGAGCCCTCCTTTTACTCAGACAAGTATCTGCCTGAAACAGTTCTTGGGGCTGGAGGGAAACACAGTGTATCTCACAACTTTCCAAACATTTACACGAAAGAATCTGGTTACTTCTCTTGGGCACATTTCCCATTTTAACCAACTTGATTTACCATAAGAATTCCAACTCCTCCCCCCAAATATATTTATTGGTCTAAGGTTGTTTGCAGTTTCTGCCTCAGGTCAGCATTTTCTGCATCCTGTTGTTGTTTAAAGCACTGGCTGCATATTGTGCTTCTAATGATGTTTTTTTAATGAATTATCAAGATATTAAAGGTATTTTGGAAAAATTATCTGAGTGGTAACTGATAGAAAAAAGCCCTAATGCTTCTACAAGAAAATGGAAGCAAGTCAGATTGTGGTAACTGATTCAGAAATGTAGATCTTCTTTAATCTTTCCTTACATATCCTCAATGAATTTGCATATTTTCCTTTAATGATTTTCACATTACAAGACTGTGCTATTGTCTTATTTTGCCTGCTGCATGTTTTATATGTTGAAATGATGAGTTCATTATTTGTGAAATACATCTTCCCTCCTTTTTTTTAATGGCCATTTAGAATGTTCTACATAATTTAAGATGGAATTCCAAACGTGGGAAAAAACTTCTTTTTATTGTAAGTTTAGAAACCATTTTTTTTAAAAGTTTTCTTGTTTGAAAGCATTTAAGAAAAAAAAAGTAAGCAGTTCCAAAATACTAAGTTTTATTACCAACTGCATAAGAGATTCTGTAACACTGACTTATTGAACATATGGAGTATAAAATATAAGTAGTAGTATTTTCTAACATGGGAAATGCAGTTACAGCAATTACTAATTTTTTTGTTAGTTACACATAAGAACAATAAAATCCAGTTCACTTCAAACTGTTCCAGAGCAAAAGCTGTGACATTTATTGACACTAAACCAATAACTAAGTATTTTTGAATATACAGAAGGAAGAGAACTGTCAAACAAGATATTCTCCAGCCACCACAGCAACAGGATCAAAACTGCAAAAGCTAGAGGAAATTTTTTTCTTGAAGCAAATATCATTCTAGATGACAGCAATGTTCACCTCCATTACTGAAGAGTGATATTATCACTTCTTAATTAAGGAAGCATGATCTGTCCATTCAGTGGCACCCAGGAGTACGATTATGCAGTGAAGTTGTTCTTGCTTTCAACTGTGGCTTGTGATTGGAATACCAGAACAGAGAACCACATTTGTTTCCCAGAATATTTTAAGACCTGAAGCCTGATCTCCATTTTGAGTACAATATGAAAAGCTGATGTTACTCACAAATAAAAAATAATAATCAATATGAATTAGGAATGTTAGAATAAAGCCTGATAACCCAAAAGAGAACCGTAAGCATTGTATTTCAAGTCAGTGCACTGCTGAAGGCCAGCAGACTGATGATGGGGCTTGATGGTGAGTTCTGGACATAGAGAAGCTGGCACGTCAGGCAGGACTGCTCTCTGTCCCATCATGCTTACTGCAGCAGAGGGGGGACCTGCCCACTGCAAATTTCAACTCCAAAATAGGCATTCACATTGCTAATGTCAGTGTTCTATTTACCTACAAAGGAAAATCTAATAAAAATGGTCCAAAATAAAACATTGAATCTCTTAAAAAAATAACAATAAAACCCCCCCAAACCAAAGAGTCTTCCGTTAATTTCAGTGCCTAGTACTAGCACAAACAAGCGATAGGGCTGTAGCTTCTAAAGCAATGTTACAGGCAGACAATAGACTACACAGGTACCAGTAAAACTAACTATTCCTTGCAAATGTTTCCTCCTCCCTTCTTTCCATCCCCAAGCAGGGTAAGTTCAAATCTGGAAAAAAAAAAAGTTATTTAATTTGGGAGCCAAGTTTGAAATGCTGGTCTTAATTAAGCAGCTACCAATCTCTCCAATATTATAATTAGGTACAAAGCTCACCTTAAAACTTTTTTGTGAAGTCGTTCACCTGCCTACCAACCTCAAACTGTAATGCTATAGGGATTCCAGCAAGGAAAAACACTGCTAGGAAAGTGTTTCCATAACTGTCAGTACCCCTAGTTAGGGAAAGGTAAGGAAATATGGACGGGTACTCTTAGCTCAAAAGGAAATCAGTACCTTAGCAGGGTACCAAAAAGATGCCTGGATTCTACAAGTCTTGTGCCATTGATTAAAACAGTGAGTCAGTAAGCAGCACTTCCAATATCCAGATGTAGACCCGCAGACACTGTGACATAGACATTGAAGTTCTCCATTGACACTGGAAGCCTATTTCCTAGAGGCAGGTAATAATTACAGAGTGGTGGCACTTTTGAAAGAACTCTTAATATGAGAACTCAATACGAGGCAAAATTGCAAAGAGACACAAAAAATCATGCAAGCTATTACAGGGAAGTTTGTTACCAGCATCTCCTTCTGACTGTTAGCTCTGATTTTGGACTTACGGTGAATGGAGTTAAATCCAGTTGGAGGCCGGTCACAAGTGGTGCCCCCCAGGGCTCAGTACTGGGGCCAGTTCTGTTCAATATCTTTCTCAATGACCTGAACGAGGGGATCGAGTGCACCCTCAGCAGGTTTGCAGATTACACTAAATTGGGTGGAAGTGTTGATCTGCTGGAGGATAGGAAGGCTTTACAGAGGGACCTGGACAGGCTGAATCGATTGGCTGTGGCTAATCGTATGAGGTTCAACAAGGCCAAGTGCCAAGAGGGCCAACAGCATCCTGGCTTGTATCAGAAATAGTGTGACCAGCAAGACCAGGCAAGTCATCCTTCCCCTCTACTTGGCATTGGTGGGGTCACACCTTGAATACTAGGTTCAGTTTTGGGCCCCTCACTACAAGAAGGACATTGAGGCACTGGAGCATGTCCAGAGAAGGGCAACAAAGCTGGTGAGGGGTCTGGAGCACAAGTCTGATGAGGAGTCGCTGAGGGAACTGGGGTTGTTTAGCCTGGAGGAGGCTGAGAGGAGACCTTATCACCCTCTATACCTGCCTGAAAGGAAGGTGTAGCAAGGTGTGTGTTGGTCTCTTCTCCCAAGTAACAAGCGATAGGACAGGAGGAAATGGCCTCAAGTTACGCCAGGGGAGGTTTAGATTGGACATTAGGAAAAAAATCTTCACCCAAAGGGTTGTCAGGCACTGGAACAGGCTGCCCGGGGAAGTGGTTGAGTCCCCATCCCTGGAGGTATTTAAAAGATGGGTGGATGAGGTGCTAAGGGGCATGGTTTAGTAGTGGACAGGTACGGTTGGACTTGCTGATCTTAAAGGTCTTTTCCAACCAAATGGTTCTATGGTTCTTATGCGACTCTCAGTAGCCATTTGAAATGCTGCTTAGGATTAGTTTGATTTCACAGCAGTTGAGAAATACCAAATTTCAGACATTTTGCATCCAAAAAACCAGAAAATTATGAAAAAAAGAAAGCCTATAAAACGGGTATTCATTTAAATACCTGATGTAGATGTGGCTTGTAGTTTGCATGATCCCTCACTTTTAAAATAAATTTTAAACAGGTTTTCACCCTGCTTACTACTTAATTATTCATTCTGAAGCAACAAACAAAATATGAAACCCTACAATGAAAATCACAGTTCATATTATTTTATTAGTTATACAGCAGCAAGAGTTCTAGGCACTTTATAGATAAATGTTTAGCTTGAATGAGGTATGAGAGATTCTAAGAGGTAAAACCCTAAGTATATGGTGGTTTTGCCAAACATTCTGGCACTATGTGGGAGAGAAGATGGGAAAAAGGATCACCATTCAGAATTCAAGGGCACAGGGTAAAGCACAGCCCTGCTTAAAGAGAGCTAGCAATCCTATTGCCTCTACACAACACCTCTTCACGTGCACGGCATGCTAACTGCATGGCACAGGCTTCTGTGGGGCCCCTGTAGCAGCAGCACAGCACCCCCATCTAGTTTTTAAGAGAATTTAACTTGTGTGAGAGCTTCTCAGGTTTTGCTCCCTGCCAGCATACGCTAGTCTGCTAAGGGCAGTGGGAAAATAAATAAAATTGATGTTTGGAAGACCTGGGGTTTGACAGAGAGAATAGCAAGGGTGGGGATTTGGGCCCTTTCATGGTCAGAGGATTAACTGTGCTCAGAATTGAGACTTCACTCCATTCTAGTCCCCCTTAAATCGCACCAGCCCCTTTCCATTATGACGGAAAGACTCCTTTACAATCTGCATTTCACATCAAATGCTTGGTCACCACACAATCTGGGAGCACTGGTGTGAGCCATTTCAGAGGCCTCAGCATTGGGAGAGCCGGGGAAGAGGGACGTGCTGACAAATCACAATGGACTTGGGGACTTCATCAAGTATCCCGAACAACTGTGCTGCACTTAGCGGAGGATGACACTAGGTTAGATAACAGCACAGCCGACCATTTATCTACCAAAAAGGAAAGCAGTAACAGTGCCAAGAAATTGTTCTCCCTTTGAGATTAATTCTGCCACACATTACTGCCCACAGATATTACAGAATGGATTTAGTAGAGAGGCATTGATGAACTGTTTTCTAAATGGCAAAACAACACTCAACAGTGCAAGTTTAGTTAACTGCTTCCCTAAACCCCACTCTCATTATTAATTCATGCATGCAAACAGTGGCTCTACTTAACTATGTTTCAAAAGCATTTATCAAAGCATATGAGACCTAGTGGCCATTACATTTAATATGATGAACAGAGAAAGACTGTTTTTAACTTTTTTTTTTTTTTTTTTTTTTTTTTTTTTTTAGTGCCACAGTGAAAATACAGTCATTTCTAGAAGGTAAAAACTAAAGCCTTTATTCTTTACTGAATCAAAATCTCTTTGACATCAATGGATGTTTTCCTTGCTAACAGAAGGGAAGTAGTCTTGGAACTGCCTTTTCTTCCCGCTTTACA